AACAGGCCACATGGACTAAGACAGTTTCCTAAGCCTTCCCATTCATCCTTCATTCCTGGTGCTCAGCATACTGCTTCCTCTCCTTCCTTCCTGCCTCACATTTAGTACTGTTGGCCTTTCCTTCAAAATCTTTCAGAATCAGTCACTTCCCACCATCTCCACTACAACCACCCAGGGGACCCCAGGAAACCCTTGTTTCACACCCAGATTGCTAACATAGCCTCCTCTTGGTCTCCCTAATTGCCACCCTCCTCAGTCTGTTCCTAGCATGGCAGCTGGAGTGGCTCAGTTAAAACCTGAGTCAAATTCTAACTTCCTCACTGGCTCAGTGTGAGTGCTGCATCCATTTGCAGCTAGGGTTCAAGGTCTGGAGAAGGGGCTGACGCACAAATTAATACACTAGACAATAAATATAAATTTAGAAGGCATGGGGAGCCAGGTGGAGACCTTTCTCTAGCGGAGAGGCTCTCTGAAACCTGGACCCATCAGCTTTTATTTACTTGAATACACATTTGCCCTTCGGGAATGCAAACAGGCATATCAATGGTAAAGTTTGGTAAACAATAAAAGGATTATCAGGTTAGGGGATTGCTGTCAGCCATTCAGCCAATAGCAGGGCAATATTATGCTGATTTTCAGCCCTGCTGAAGATCAAAGTCCATTAGCCTTCCAGGGACTTCTCGCATAATTATGCTAACTACTGTTGGTCTTAGCCTCCAGCAGCCTGGTCTCCTACAACTCCTGGTGGACCCTCACCTGACAGATGGGAACAGTCATCCTCAGGAAGGCAACACTAATGGGTATTGGGTTAATTTGTTCTATGGAGAGGAGATTTGAACAAGTAAGGGAGAGCTTGGGCATAGAAGAGAGAGAACTACATAGAAAACTGATCAAGAAAAAATGAGGCGATGATGAAATACTGGGAAAACAGAAGATGTGCAACAAAGGCAAAGTTTTAGTAGACTCTATTCCCAATAACGTTTACAGAATGACAATAATGCAAACATTTATAATGTAAACATGAACATGCAAACATGGATGTTGATCTAACCGAGTTTATAGTGGACTCTGGGAGGGAGGGAAGGGGCACCGGAAGGGTATGGGGTGGAGGACAGGGTGTGGTGGGAGAGAGTGAACCCGGATTGTCCATCACAGGAGCAAACAGAAATCTAAAGGGAGACTGAGGGGGCTATTTAGGCACGTGGTGATACATAGTAAGAGAATCCATTGAAAGTTGATGCCTCTGGTGATTCAGAAGGGGAGCGTGGTTCCTTACACTGTGCGGATGGATGTATAGCTGTATGTAAAAAATAAAAGTTAAACTAGACCATGAAATACACTTTAAGGGGGAGGGCATGAGGAAGTGCTTCAGAGGTACCCATGTAAGTGTGGCTCCTCTCAGCTGTCAGGCAGCCGCTGCCCAGCACTGTCACCTTGGCTGCACTCTTGCCTCTGGTCCCTAAACACTTTCAGAGAATTCCAAGGATTTGCTGTCCACCAGACACACAATGGGAAGAGGAACCAGATTACCATCTACATGCAACCCTATCATCTTGCCTCCAACCTCCACAGAGTAACACGGGACTCCGGTGCTTCCACCGCCTCTCCTTGGCCTCCCAGAGACAGACAGGCGGCTGTATGTGCAGGTGCAATGTGTCCCCAGGCCTGTGCCAGGCACAGGCATTTAGGCAGAGCCTTTGCCCTCCTGTAGCTCATGTGCTACTGGAGGGAAAAGAAAAGTGAATAAATAGACAAGTAAACAAGTAATATGCCATGTGATGAGGTCTTGGACTGAATGTTTCTGTCCCCCCCAAATTCACATGTTGAAACTCAACCCTTTAATGTGATAGTGTTAGGTGAGTTCTTTGGGAGGCGATTAGGAATAGATGTGGTCATGAGGGTGGAGGCCCCATGGTGGGATTAGTGGCTTTATAAGAGTCCCAAGAGCCGTAACCAGTTTGACTCAGTGGATAGAGCATCGGCCTGCGGACTGAAGGGTCGGTCCCAGGTTCTATTCCAGTCAAGGGTATGTACCTTGGTTGTGGGCACATCCCCAGTAGGGGGTGTGCAGGAGGCAGCTGATCAATGTTTCTACCTCTCTATCCCTCTCCCTTCCTTTCTGTAAAATACAAAAAAAAAAAAATGTTCCAAGAGCTGCTTCCTCTCCGCTCTCCAACGTGTGAGGACACACTTGGAGGGACATCTATAGGCCAGGAAGTGGACTCTCATCAGACACCAGATCTACTGCCACCTCCACCCTAGACATCCAGCCTCCAGACTGTGAGAAATAAGTCTCTGCTGCTTAAGACCCGCCCATCCCCCGGCCCCCTTCTGTGGCATTTTGTTTGGGCCACCTAGCTGACTAAGAGAGAGGGTAAATGCTGTGAAGGAAAATCGAGCCAGGCAAAGTGATGGAGAAGGCTTTCAGGCACAAAGATCTCAGGGCTCCTCTGAGGAGGGGCATCCATAGCAGCAGGGACCTGAAGGCAGTGAGGCCATGAGCCATGGCACTCGCTTGGAAAGGGCTGCATTGTGTTCTTTGCACAAATGAGGGAACTGAGGCTCAGATAAGTTATGTCATATGTCTATGCTCACATTCCTACAAAGTGACAGAACTGGGGTTGGAACCCAGAACTCC